AGTGGATGGGCGTAAGTAACACATGTCCCAACCACTTCAACTGATAAAGTTTCATTACTTCGTCTATTGATTTGCAATCCTTACCTAGAACTTGTTTCCTAACAACAGCATTGCTTATACGGTCGTCCCAGGATACACGAACAATGGTTCGGAGGCACCTATGATCGAAGATAAGCAATCTACGAATATCTTCTACTCTCACCGGCCATGTTTCGCATCCATATAGTAGGATGGAGCGAACTACTGCGCAGTACACTCGTCCTTTGGTAAGCAAACGGATATCTCGCCTACGCCATAGATGACGCTGGCTGGTAAAAGCCAGTCGAGCTGTTTGTATCCGAGCTGAGATTTCGTCAGTCACCAGGACATCGGCACCGAAGAGACTCACGAGATAAGTGAGGGAGTCTAAACGCCCAACTGCTTCACTCCCTATCACTAGTTCAGGTGTCAATGTGACCCAACCTTCAAGTAACATTTTGCATTTTGAGGGGTAAAACAGCATCCCGAACATGCTTGCATTGTTGCTTAGGGAGGTCAGAAGACTCTGCATTTTTTAAGCGTCTTCACCGAATAGAATTATGTCATCAGCATATTCTAAGTCAAGAAGCGTGTCACCTGGTGAAAGGTCCACTCCTGAAGGGTCAGACGATTCCAATTTTAATTCTAGATGCATATCTACGACAAAGTTATACAAGACTGGAGAGAGTAGACAGCCCTGACGAACACCATTTGATGTAACTAATTCCGGTGGCAGTTCTCTATAAGCTCTTACTCGACCAGTGGTGTTCGAGTAGAGAGCTTGTATAAGGTTAGTGTACTTCTCTGGTGCACCTTTTGATGACAGACAATGCCACAGAGTCTCACGATCCACAGAGTTAAATACCGCCTTAAGGTCGAGAAATACTACGATTGCGGGACTGAACACGTGTCTTTGTTCTAGTACCTTTCGTAGTGTGAAGATGTGGTCTATACAGCGACTTCCAGGTCGAAAACCAGACTGGTTTTCCGAGTCTGCTCTTCCCGAGCTCCGGTTAGGCGTCTAAGTATAATCGAGGCTAACAATTTAGAAACCATATTAGTTAGACTGATTCTCCTGTGATTGTCACAAGAGGAATTTCGTCCTTTCTTATAGACTGGGACAATCACTGATTGAGGCCATTCAGATGAGATTACATCTAGTCCCCAGATTCTACCTAAAAGTTCAGTCAGTCTAACTGTTAAAACTTGTTCACCATCCTTAAAATTCTCAGGGATCAATCTATCAGGTCCTGCTGCTCTCCCTCGTTTCAGATTTCCTATAGCCTTTTCAACCTCATAAAGTTTCGGATGGCATACGTCGACTTGCCGTTCAGGATGACTGTTAATCGTGGGCAACCGAAGTGTGGCTGAAGGCCAGTTGAACTAATCCAGTGTTCTGCCTATCGATCCAACCTTCAGGATTGAGAATGAATAGTAAGACCATCCTTTTACGAGACAGTCTCACTCACATTCGGATTCCTAATACCGGTCTCATTGACAAGTCGGAACAACTCTCTGCTGTCCCCTATTACCGCTGCGTTTCCATCGCTCTCGATTTCGCCACCCACCACTGCTCGAATCATTGAAAAGGCTTTTTATCAGCTTGCGCCTAAGCTGACTTCACACTTCATCATGTTCACAGCCAGGTGGAATGAGTTCACGAGCGCATATCAGTGCGTTGTACGCTACTGAAATCCATGTCTTCTCCCTAACCTTTTGGTTTACCTTACCAGCAAATAACACTGCTGTTTCCACAGCCATTTCGATATCATTCCAAGCTGCCTCAGGGTGGGCCTCATTTACTACATAGCCACTTACCTGTTTTTCTAGTTGTTCCTGAAATACATTCTTCGCCCTATTATCATTAGGTAAAAGCCTAAGAGGCTTTCTTACGGCGTCTTTCCTACGCCCAGTAAGCTTCAAACAGATACGAGCTCGCACTAGGGCATGATCTGAGTCTAAACAAGCGCTCCAGAATGAGAGATAGTCGACCATCGAACCTCTCCATCGGTGGCTGATTGCGATATAATTTAGTTGGGTCCAACGTTGAGACGACTTTGTGGGTCGCCAGGTCAACAGATGCTTTTCATTATGCCTAAAGTTAGTGTTTGGTAAGAATAGGCAGTTGTCTGAGCATACTTGCAACAGACGGTCACCATTGTCTGTTCTCTCAGCCGCGACACCATAACATCCACCAATGTGTCTTTCCTGCTCACTCAGTCTACCTACTTGAGCGTCAAAATCACTAGCCATTATTACTATGTCAGAGTGCCTAACTTTTTGGAGGAGATCCGAATGCTTTCTGTAAAACTCATCTTTAACCTCGTCTGAACTGCAGTCAGTGGGGGCATAGGCAGATACGACGAAGAGACGACGGCGAGTGTCCCTATCTTTACGAGTCCTTACTGTCCCGTTCAGTCGGACAGCGCACAATCGACTATCTACTGGGATCCAGTCAAGGAGAGATTGTTCAGCTCTACGACTCAATGCTATGCCTACGCCAGCAAGACCCCGGGAAGCAGCATCAGGGCTTTCAGATACACGAAGAGTAAATCGAGCTACTTCTTTATTTTGACAAGGTGAAATCAGATTAATAATTTTACTTGGATCCCGTATGCGCGTTTCCGAGATGCAGCATACATCGATGGCACGAGATTCTAAAGTCCTAGCTAAGAAAGCCTGTTGCCCTATTTGACACAATGTCCGTACAATAAATGCTCCAACATGCAGCGTAGAACGAGGTTTCAAGAGACCAGGAATAGTTTTACGGGAACTCACATCGTTTGCATTAGCGGTGCAGTCAGATAAGAGAATGTGAGTGGAGTTAGTTGTGGAGAGAAGAGAAGTATGTGTGGGTGTAGGAAGGATTTGATTTCGACCAATTTGGTCCCGTGTGCTGTTACGGGTATGAGGGCGGTTGTCACTTCCAGGCTGCCCACACCGTGGAAGGTTGTTTCTTGAGGGACCTGAAAAGGAAGATAGATTAGTGTTGGTCTTAGAGACCTGGGTGTGTAACCGCAGAGCCGAGGGGACAACTGCTTGAGGCCGGTCACGTACGGCCTTTTATTAAAGGATTTCTGAGTATTAGCTCCGCTCTTGAAAGCCCTTAGTGGGCACCCTTACCGCCGGAGACGGAAATCCGTAAGATAGGGTGAGGTGTGACATTTTCAGGGTCGACCTTTTCCGACCCTTCCTTCTTGTGAGAAGGCAGCATCGCTGCAGATGCTGGTTGTCCGAGGGAAATACCTTACTGCTGCCACACCTATCTGCAGTCAGCAGTACGACTTCGCCCTCAGACCTCGGGTAGCTTCTTTTAGTCTCATCGTTCTCCAGTCGACCTGTCTGGCATGGTAGGACCTGCAGGAACATATGTTCCAGCCAGTATAGCTCGGTTGGGTCCTCACGATAGGCAAGCCCGACCACCACGTCAAGGTAGCAGCTACAGTCGGGGATCCGCCCAGGTGTCTTTCCTTTCCACCTAGTCCACCATCTTGGGCATCAAAGTCGCCAGCCATTATTACTGTCAGAGAGCTTAACTTTTTTAAGAAGTTTAGAGAGGTTTCTGTAAAAATTATCTTTTATGTCGTCCGAACTGCAGTCATTGGGGGCGTAGGCAGATGCGACGAAGAGACAATGGCGAGTTTCCCTATCTTTACGAGGAGATAAGAGAGTTATTTGGAGGTAAAGGAAGGATTTGATTGTGACTAATTCAGTCTGGTGTGCTTTATGGGTGAGGGCGGATGTTACTTCCCGGCTGCCCACACCCTGGAAGGGTTCGAGCTGTCAGAAGGGGCATCAGCCTTATGACTTCCGAAGGAACACGGCTTTCATCATGAGACGTCATAACTCTTCTAACAGAAGACTTTCTAACTCCCACAGCAGAATTGATATGGTTTGAATTATTTTTTCTTGTTAGCTTTTTTGGGAAGTTAGTTCTTTCCGGGATGGAGTCACCGACCCCGATCCCAACCTTCCCCCTTTATCCGGGCTTGGGACCGGCAGTAGCCCCGAAGGGTCTACAGGGTCTACATATGCCCAACCACCGACTGCCGCGACGAGATGTTTTGTGGTGTAGGAGTAGGTTGGAAGAAAGCTATGGTCGGCCGAACCAAAACATGGCACAAATCCATGAATTCACTGACAAGTGGACTGAGTCATGTTGGCAGATGTAGGCTATCAGGTTGGGGTCCGCCAGACGAAAGTCACCGTTGTAAGAGACCTTGAACGACTTGGCTCAGGTGCACTCATTCCTTGTGTCCTCTGAAATTCTAACATTCAGAATTCCTCATCATCAAACCATCTATGCCCACTGTTCAGTGAATATTAATATCCATAACGAATAGAAAATTTAGAAGGAAATTAAACTACTAAACGCTAAAAACATAGGATCTAGTAGATATTCGGATAAGAAAAATGGTTTCATTGTTGAAAAGTAATGGCAAACTGAGTGTACCGTTATTCTGAAATCAAAAAAAGGCATATAAAAAGAACGTGAGTATTCGAACACCAAATTGTTCATTATCATACTTCCCAGTTTATGTGAAACAGGCTTTCGTAAAGGATTTATTCAATGCTGTTGGTACGTTGAACACATCTGCAATGTTCATCAAAAGCCTGGATGTGTGAGGTTCACGGTTATTGTGCTTCTAAGCAACATGACTGGTCTGGAATAGTTGTGTTTGGAAAGTATCTTAGGGAAAGATGTCTGAAACTTACATCAGTACGGTGAAAGTCCTTTAAAAAAAAGTGGTTCGGTGTGAAAGTTAAGTAAGATTATATAAAGCTATGTATAATGAAAACTGGGTAACCTATGGTAATTATGATAACTTTACTGAGGTACAAACACCTTTACAAAATATGGGAAAATCTGATTCTGAAAAGCATAACTTCGGCCTCAAAGATGAAACAAGATAAATAACATCGACTATAAGTTAATCCTACTTTTAAGTAACAAGAAACATATGTTATTTTTGAAAACTTACTTTCATTTCCTCACTTGCCAAACGGCTCGCTTCACCTAAACCAACAACTAAAGCCGTAGGAAGAGTGCCAGATCTCAACCCGCGTTCCTGTCCACCTCCACTTTGCTGGGCTTCTAATCGAACCCTAGGTCGACGACGTACGTAGAGAGCACCAATACCCTGAGGACCATATATTTTGTGACCACTAATAGACATGAGGTCAACCTAAAACGAATTCCATAAGAAGTATATATTTCAGTTTAACACTGCAACAAGGTATGGGTTACGAAAAACACCAATAAGTTATTGCACAATGATAACGTTCAAGATATTTACATACAAAAGTAGTCGAACGTGTAGACTGCTTCAAGTATCTGGGGAATTTCATCAATGCCGATGTCCTGGTGACTGACAAAATCTCAGCTCGGATACAAACAGCTCGACTGGCTTTTACCAGCCAGCGTCATCTATGGCGTAGGCGAGATATCCGTTTGCTTACCAAAGGACGAGTGTACTGCGCAGTAGTTCGCTCCATCCTACTATATGGATGCGAAACATGGCCGGTGAGAGTAGAAGATATTCGTAGATTGCTTATCTTCGATCATAGGTGCCTCCGAACCATTGTTCGTGTATCCTGGGACGACCGTATAAGCAATGCTGTTGTTAGGAAACAAGTTCTAGGTAAGGATTGCAAATCAATAGACGAAGTAATGAAACTTTATCAGTTGAAGTGGTTGGGACATGTGTTACTTACGCCCATCCACTGACTGCCGCGACGAGCGATGTTTTGTGGTGTAGGAGTAGGTTGGAAGGAAGTTAGGGGCGTCCAAGCCAAAACATTCACAAATCCATGAATTCACTGACAAGTGGACTGAGTCATGTTGGTAGATGTAGGCCACCTGGTTGGGGTCAGCGAGACGAAAGTCACCAATGATTAAAGACCTTGAACGACATGGCTCAGAATCGTTTGCAATGGCGCAGGTGCATTCACTCTTTGTGTTCTCTCAAATTCTAACCCTCTGAAATCCTCACATTCTCTATCCTTCTCTTTCTAACTCTATCTCACTGAGTTATACCCTTATCTTCTCGATTACTTCTAATACTTTTACTATTGCTATCACTCTTGGATTTGAACTGACAGTTGCGTCTCTATGCTGATGTGGTATGGAAACCTGAACTGATGTACTTACGTATGAAGTTCTGTGTTGTATCTGTCTGTCTGTTCAAAAGGCTGGTTGATTACTGAATGGCGATGCGTGCTATTCCAGTATGCTGCTCATGTCAAGAAAGAGACTAAACAGTTAAACTCAGTGTTTGAAAAATCCAGGGATTTGATAGTTAACTTTATATGGTGTGATTAGAATGAACGACCAACTGATGAGATTAGTAATATAAAAATAGGTCACTTGATGCTTTGAACTATAACATTAATGCTTACGAAATATGTATCATACAAACAAAGGATTCATTTATTCTGAATTGGGCCAATTGGTGAACAACCAATTTTTAAAAATCACAACTCTTTAATATCAAACCACCGTAGTTTCAACACATATCTTACTCAAGATTTTTTTAATTGGTAATCTCTATCAATAGGTGTTTCTACTGAAGGGGTCCGATCGATAATAATAACAAGGCGATAAAAAATAAATCAATGAAAAGAGTAATTATGCGAAAATGCCGCTCACTAAATTTCATTAGGAAGACTTAAAGATGGTCTGGTCTTTGTAACCAAATGGCTAAACAAAAATGCCCAATTTACATGGCACACACTAACTGTCCATAAAATTTGGTCGTCAACCTTTGTATCACACCAAAATCACTTTTCAGTGTGCTAACTATCAATAACAGTAATAGTAATCAATGGTATTATCGATTGTTTCGAAACAAATAAAAAAAGTTTGGAACAATGTGCATGCTGGGTTATCTCTGACTTAAAACAAATCAGTTGAGTTGATACAAAGAATAATTCGTACTTCGACTTAATGACTAGACTTTTCGCTCAAAAAAAACATTGAACTTCACAGTTAGTTACTGATTTTCAGATTAACTGAGAAACTGCGACCTGAATCATAACGTCAGTGGACGGCTTATCTTATAAATCCAAACACAAGCCTGCTGACAGCAAAAAGAATTTTTTTGATCTAACTTGACAATTTACGGCTTGTAAAAGTAAATAAACTCATAATTTTTTAGATAGTGTATATGTTTAGCACGAATATCTACGGAAGCTATCGTAGAGCAAGATAGGTTAAAAAAATGCAGTCGTTTAACCTTAAGTTCAAAAATACAGTGAAGTTGCTAATAATCTACTGTTTGCAAACGGAAATCATGAATCGTGGATTGAAGCTTAAGTCAGACTGAACCGTTAGGATTTTTGATCGATGGGTAGTCGGAAACGTTTGTTAATAGAAAAAATTGATTCAGTCTTAAAAAGAAACAAAGTTTGAACAGACACCTACATTCATTGTATTAACATCAAGTGGCACTTTGCCGAACGCTTGTGCAGCATCAGTATGGAAGAAAACCCCTTTACTTCGACACAGTTTTCCGATTTCTTCTATAGGTTGCAGGACACCTATCTCGTTATTAACAGCTATAACGGACACCAGGCTTGTTTCTGGCTTAATAGCCCTTTCTAAAACCTGGTGGGGATGACAATAAAAATGAATAATAGTACCTCCAGATCCAAAATGCCATTTTTTTGAACAGGCAGATAAGTCACATCAAACCCACTGTTTTCCAGTACTCTGCAAGAATCCAAGACGCATTTATGCTCCTAAAACGCAAGTAAAATTATGCTACAATCCATTACGATCTGTGTAGTTATAATGTGTTTTTTCTTTGGGTGGTAAAACTTGGCAACACCTTTCACAGCTAGATTATTGCTTTCCGTCGCACCACTGGTGAAAATGATCTCTTTGTGATCTGCGTTTATCTGGTTAGCCACATTCTGAAACATTCCAAGGGATTAGAAATATAAAGTACCACTCTAGCTTTTTCAACGGCCTCTTCACAATACCAACCATACTCATGCGTACGTGAGTGAGGGTTACCGAAGTGATTTATGTAGAATGGAAGCATAGCATCTAGTACCCGAGGATCCTTTATACAACTGTGACCTGTAACATTAACTTACCATTTGTGTAGACGCTTGAAAATCAAAATATAAAGGGCGTAAAGGTTTGCAACCCCTTGATTTGTTCCCATCTTCTACCAAAACTAGAAAATAATGAGATTATCGACTAATAGTTACGTTCTGCTTCTGCACAATACTCTCGAAATAAATTAAGAGTCCTTCGATATGATAACCGAGAAAACACACTCAGTCTCCCGAACATCACGAACTCTTTTGAACCGTTTAAATGACCTTCGGGAATGCAAAAGTGAACCATTTAAAAAGCTTAGCCTGTTCCCATTTTCGGAAAATAAGTTCCTCTCTAAAAGTCCTTCTGAAAGCTTTTGTGCTTATAGGATGTCTGTGACTAACAGTTTTGACGTTGATAATTTGGCTTGGTCGGATACATATTGTGGAGTAACATTATATCCTATATCCTATATCATTTTCATGAGCTAGTGTGCACAGATTGATTTCTTTGAGCTTAATTCCTGTTCTTTCGGTACGATTCCAGGTGTTTGATAATGTCGAATGAATGGGAGTCTTACCACTGGTCTGTCTACTTCTAGTCAGTTGGCAACTGTTTGCTAGTTTGTATGTCCCGTAATCCGAATAAGTACCTTTGTTTCACGGCAGTAGGATTTCTGGATACCAGCAGCTATCACAAGGCCAGACAGAAGATCAGTTAGTTGCGATATGGAGAAAACTGTAATGCCAATAAAATTTTAGATCTAAGTTAATAAATAGATAAATTAATCTTGTTCTAATAAATTAATCTGTTAATTGATGGTGAATATTGTGAGAGAGGACCGAACTGTAAGTAAGGGAGAGGAAACAGATATACTAGGCGAGATAGAATAATTGAGTTATCTGAGGAGATGGCACTGATAACAACTAGCAGGTCTCAAGATATGTACCATGCATAGCTTGTTCAAGAGGGAGATGATAATCCGTATGTGAGTCTGTGATTATCCATTCCCTACTTAAAGCTGTCCACTGAGGGGTTGTGGAAATTCCAACTTGCAAAGACTCTTAATTAGTGGCGTTCTGACTGCTTTTCCCTTGTTTTTATTACTGCTAACTTCCCTCCTGTCTTGGAGTACATGCTATATAGCCTTTTGACTGTCTTTTCCAAAACTCTCTGGTCGTGTAAAATGTAAAACCTTGTAAATCTTCAGGATCAGTTTTTGATTTTACATCAGGTAAGGAGCTGTGGTGGTATATTTTTACAAAGATAACACAACTGGTAAGAAGGAAACATTCATTATTGTACTTAAATCTAACAATGTTTGTTCTATTGTGTTCCTTTTGTTTATTAAAAACAATATATAGGCATATTAATTCGAAATTTCTTAGGTTACCAAATAAATATACACAAATGAAACATCTTTTGTGTTTAGGCACAACAAAAATTGAAAACGCTAAAATATGGTAGTTGAACACAATATCGAAATAGAGCAGAAAGAGGCATGTAAAATTTTCAGAAGTTAGTAATATAGGAGTTTTTGTCGTCACTATTTATCGGATAATAATAATAATAATTTTAAGGCGTAGAATCCAATTTGAGGGCTTTTGTTTTGGGAAAATCCCTCCATATACACATTTGTAATATGTTCGTACCAACTCTTTCTGTGCTACATGTTGGTACTCTGTTTAATCCCATTTTGTGATGATAATATTTATATGTTGTTATAATTTCCATTTTTTATACCTTTATTGGAGTTTCTATGTTTTCTACTGAACTGTATTACTCTGATTAAATTGATACTTAACTATCGAATTTGACACCCTGGGTGATGAACTTTGAATCTGGACTGGAAGGTTGCAATTGGAAACACATTGTGTTAAGGAACAGTGTAATGTTGTTTTGGTAGTTACCGTTTTGTTGTCTTGGACTGGGGAAGGCGCGTATCTAACTTCTTCCACTGTTCTTCCGAATTCAGAAGTCACTGAAAAGCCCCCAACACCACTAATATTGATGTTTGAAAAATCGATAGAGAATGTGCTTTTCTAGGTAGGCGGCAATAAACCAGTCGATGCCGGTTATATCCTTCGCCCCATTCTTATCAGTTGTATGGGACGAAGGTTCAACTTGAAGAACTTTATCGGGGTATGTTCGTGCAACTTTGAGTGGTCGACTTAATTGGTCGTAGGGCGTGTCAACATAAAGCATCAGTTGATCGCAGTTGAGTGGAAACATGTTTTCACAGAATGTTTTGCGTTTGTTAGCCTACAATTGAAGGAGCTTCGATCCACATCCAATAACGAAGATGGAAGACGCATCAATTAACGCCTAAGTCAAATTTTCGTACCGTGAATGAGAGTGAGCACAGTGCACTCGATTATGGCATTCACTACATTGTGTATTCCACACAAAGCAGTTTGGGAAGCTTAATTCCAGTGTGATGTATTTGTAGTGGGGCTACCAACTGCTGGTGAAGTTGTCGTACCAAACTGTTAGCCTGTGAATGGTAGGTGGCGGTTCCAATGAGTGTAGTAAGTCTGCCGGAAGGTCTGTTTTCGAACGCAGACGTACAGTGTGTAGTTGTACTTGTAGGGAGTCCGCAGTTTTCCACCAATCGTTCGACAAGGGAGCGAATAAATATTTCAGTTGTAATATCCGTGATAGGTCCTTCTGCTGTCCACCGTCAGAAACCGTCAGCCCGTCAGCCCGAGCCAAGGCAAATGCGACTCTTCACTTTATGCGAAGACAGCTTGGTGCTATAACCCCGAAATTATTTTTAACCCTGTTTAAGACGTACGCGCGCCCACACTTGAAGGTTCACAACGTCATCGCACCCCCTCTGCTTAAAAGAGACATTAATCTCCTGGATCGAGTGCAGAGACGAGCAACCAAATGGGTGATAGGGTTGAAAAATAAACCGTACGACGATAGACTCCAGCTCTTGGCATTATTCCCACTGAGCTACAGGAGAATCAGAGGTGACCTGATTATGGCGTACACCATATTAAACACGCCCAACCATCCCAATGTGAGCATCTTACCGATGCATCACCGCCACTCCCCTCGAGGCAATCCTCAAAAGATTGCACATCAAAGAGCAAACACTCAGGTTCGTGCACACTTTTTCTCATTGCGAGTCGTCGCAACATGGAATGCTCTCCCAGCCGAGGTAGTTACAGCCCCCTCAGTGGACTGCTTTAAGAAGAGACTTGATAATCACGTACTCACATGCGGACTATCATCTCCCTCTTGGAAAAGCTGTGCCTGATGCATATCTTGAGACCTGCTAGTTGTTACCATTGCCATCTCCTCAGATCACTTAATTAATTTAACTCGCCTATTCCTCTCCCTTGCTTACGCTTCGGCCCTCTCTCACAATCTTCACTACCAATTATTAAACTAAATTCATCAGTTCTGGAATTTTACTCATATTATCATTTTGATTTACCCTTATTACCCTTATTACTCTCCACATTGCAACTAACTGATCTCCGGTTTGGTAATGTGACGGCTGCTAGTATCCAGAAACCCTACTGCCCTGAAACAAACGTTTCATTCAAATCCCGAGACATACAAACTCACAACCAACTGCCAACGAGTGGCTAGACCTCCATCCATTGGACATTACCGAACACCTGGAACCGTACCGAAAGAACAAGAATCGAGCGCGAAGAAATCAAATTGGTTTACACTAGCTCGTGAAAAAGATATTAGATATTGGATATTGGAAGAAGAAAACACAATCGCTGAAATATAAACATTTATTATTGTACTTAATTCTTACTTACTCACTTACGCCTGTCACCACCAATGGAGCATAGGCCGCTCACCAGCTTTCTCCAACCAACTCTGTTCTGAGCCTCCGTCTCCAGTTCTATCCAATGTTTGTTCATTCCTCTCATATCTTTCTCTATTTCTCGGCGTAGTGTGTTCCTTGGCCTTGCTCTTTTCCTTTTGCCTTGAGGGTTCTAAGTGAGGGCTTGTCTCGTGACGCAGTTGGGTGCTTTCCGCAATGTGTGATCTATCCACTTCCACCGCTTCTTCCTGATTTCCTCATCCACTGGAATCTGACTTGTTCTCTCCCACAGTTCGTTGTTGCTGATGGTGTCTGGCCAACGAATCCGAAGTATTTTGCGTAGACAGCTGTTAATAAACACTTGTATCTTCTGAATGATGGCTTTGGTAGTTCTCCATGTTTCCGCTCCATACAGTAGAACTGTCTTCACATTTGTATTGAAAATCCTGATTTTGGTTTTGGTTGAAATTTGTTTGGAGTTCCAGATATTTTACAAATGTAGAGATGCAGCCCTTGCTTTGCCAATCCGCGCCCTCACATCTGCATCGGATCCACCTTTCTCGTCGATGATGCTGCTTAGATATGAAAAGGTGTCAACGTCCTCCAAGGCATCTCCATCAAGAGTGATTTGGTTGGTGCATGTTGTGTTGCATCGGAGAATTTTGCTTTTCCCTTTATGTATGTTGAGACCTACTGCTGCAGAGGCTGCTGCTATACTGGTAGTCTTCTCTTGCATTTGTTTTCGCGTGTGCGATAGAAGAGCCAAGTCATCTGCGAAGTCCAGATCGTCCAGCTGCGTCCTAACTGTCAAGTCGATACCGTGCTTCCATCCAGATGTTGACGTTTTCATAATCCAGTCGATGACCAGGAGAAAGAGAAAGGGTGAGAGTAAGCAACCTTGCCTGGCACCGGTCTTCACCTCGAAACAGTCTGTCAGCTGACCTCCGTGCACGATTTTGCAGTTGAATCCATCATAAGAATTCCGTATGATGTTGACTATCTTCTCAGGCACACCGTACTTTCGAAGAAGCCTCCACAGTGTTTTCCTATCCACGCTATCGAATGCTTTCTCGTAGTCAATGAAGTTGATGTAGAGTGGTGAGTTCCATTCAATTGATTGTTCCACAATGATCCGTAATGCAGCAATTTGGTCAGTACACGATCGATCCTTACGAAATCCGGTCTGTTGATCTCGAAGTTGGGCATCTACGAAGTCCTTCATTCTGTTTAACGATACCCTGCTGAAGACTTTGCCTGGTATTGGAAGAAGAGTGATGCCTCTTTGTTGTTTCGTACAATTGTCTCAAGTTTCCGTCTCTTGCAGCCTTTTCCGCCGTCATTGCTAGATCTTCCACATATTTTCGTTTGTCAGCTCTGATGCAAGGGTATCAACAGAGATCCATTCCTTGTGATGGTACTTCTTGTGACCCAGAACTTCGTGATATGTTGAAGTGATTGCCTCCTTAATCCTTTCCCAATTGTTCTCCAATGTTGTGTCCTCTCCATTGAGTAGATCCTGAAAGGCCTGGAACCTAATGGTGAGGGCTATCCTGAATTCGTTGAGCTTTACAGTATCCCGAAGAAAGGCCATATTAAAATTCTGTGATGTCGTCTGTCCCGTTGTCCAGTGCTTCTTTAGTTTCCGTCTCATTTTGGCGATCATCAAATGGTTATCTTATGCTACATCAGCTCTTCTCTTGGTTCTCACATCCTCCATAGTCCTTCTGAACGTTTTGTTGATACAGATAAAGTCAATCTGGTTTTGAGTAGTGTGGTCCGGTGAAATCCATGTGGCTGTGTGTATGCGCTTGTGTGGGAATATTGTGCCACCGATGACCAGTTTGTTGAAGGCACATTGGTATGCAAATCTCTCACCGTTTTCGTTCCTTTCTCCCAGTCCATGTCGTCCGATGATGTCTTCATATCCAGTGTTGTCCATTCCAACCTTGGCATTCAGGTCTCCCATAAGAATCGTCAAATCATTTGGTGAACATTTATCGACGATTGACTGCAGCCTTTCGTAGAATTGATCTTTATCGTCGTCATTGTAGTCGTTGGTAGGTGCATAACATTTGATGACGTTCATTGTAATGTCCTGTTTCTTTGTTTTGAAAGATGCTTTAATGATCCTCGGTCCATGAGATTCCAATCCTATCAGTGCCTTTTGTGCATGTTTGGACAGCATCAGTGCAACTCCTTGTGTATGTGAAGCATTTTCCTCTTCATGACCAGAGTATAACAGCAGTTCCCTTGAAGCTAGTCTCAGTTGTCTTACCTGTGTTCAATGCGTTTCACTGATGCCGAGCACCTCCAGGTTGTATCTTTTCATTTCTGCCGCAACTTGAAATAGTCTTCCAGTCTCCCACAATGTACGAACGTTCCATGTACCTAAAAGAATGGTTGCTCTGGTTGTCCGAAGAGGCATCAGCCCCGTGACTTCCGAGGGAACTAGGCTTTCATCACGCGACGTCATAATTCTTCCTCCAACTCCCAGGGCAGAGTTAAAATGGTTTGAAGTAGTTTTCTGGTTAGCATTTTTTGGCAAGTGAGATTTCGACGGAATGGGATCGCCAACCCCATGTCCAACCCTCCTCCTTTATCCGGGCTTGGGACCGGCAGTAGCCCCGAAGGTTCTACTGGTGGAGTTGCACTTAATTCTGGAATAATTTTTATATTGTTCACCTTTTTATCTGTACAAGAATCTATTCTTCCCATTTCTGTACGTTAGCCGCTTGCACGCACTCTGGCCCCGATATTATTTCGATATCACGAGGCTAACAGTAAATATACTGCTTCATCTAGAATAATCTTTTATCTGATTACTAGAATAACGGGACTAACATTTGTTATCCCGCCTATTAGTATAATATTTCGTTTCGCTATAAGAGTATCAGTCTAAATCCGGCGAGAGTATTACGAAACCAGGATAATCCGAGTTAAAGAGAGCTTCGGCGGTTGAGAAAGTGCATGAAGAACGTTTGTGTGATTTATTAGAAACATCACTTCGAAAATTATCCAGCATGATCGGAAGACCCTTATCTACATATTTTTACAAGGCGAAGTTTCCTTACCCGTTCCCATCCGTTTGATTAGCAGTTGCATGTCTGTCGACGGTGACTCGGGCATAGGATCAGCATCTTCATTCCGACAGGATGAGATCCCAAGTGGGACCATTCTGTAGAAACGGTTCATGAAAATTATTTGCCACCACAATGTCTACACAAGAATTATTTTGAATATCGAAGCTGAACTGTGAGATATAGTCTGGCTTTCGGAACTATTGAGGGCAGTACTTTTATGAAGACGAGCTAAGAAAACATATTAACAATTTATTTTGGTTGGAAAGAGTGAATTTTCAGCATTACACACGTTTTTGAAGGTGTCATACAAGAATATACACAGATATGATTCCGATCAAAACTGATTCCTTTTGCAATGAAGTACAAACATGAATCCTTCTGGTAAAATTTTCAACAGTTCTAGTGCTTATGCTTTCAAATAAAAGTTGAGGACCAACGAGTTTGCTAAATTTAGATACCGTGAGACCAATCCTCTTCCTGATATTTATCACAGCTTAAAAATTCTACACTGGAGGCACAAAGATCTGGTGATCAGTGAAAAACGAACAGGATTCAACTGAGATTCAAAAAGACGTTGCAACCCTAGGAGAATTGACAGCGAACGACGGGTTAAAACTTAACCTGTCGAAATGTCACTTCCTGAACATTCTGCCTCACATGACGCAAACAACTTACATCCTCAGTGGAAGTCCTCTCACCAATATCTCCCCAGAGCTGGATATCCGTTTAATAACTACTGAGAGCATTTCACTAGTTGAAACCGTATAGAGAATGCAGACAATGCTAACGCAACTCTTCATTTTATGAGGAGACATCTTGGGGCAGTCAACCCGCAACTGTCCATAAATCCCCACTAAGCATACGCACGGCCACGTCTTAATGTTTACTGTGTTTCCACACCTTCTATCCTAAAAAGAAGAATAGCTCCTCAGGATCGATCGCAGAGACGAGCAACTAAATTGGTGATAGTGTTAAATAATTAAACCTACGAAGAAAGAATCTAAAAATTGAGAATATTCCTTCTGATTTACCGAAGAGTTGTAGTTGTTCTGATAACGGCGATTCTCTTCCATTAGAAGTGACTGAAGTCCACTCAGTGGGTAGCTTCAAGAAGAGACTTGACAAACACGCACCCACATACAAATTATTATATGACACTTCGACCAGATGTACCTGGCTCATACATAAAGGTTTGCTCGTCGTTATGATTGTCATTTTCCTGGATCATTAAATCATTCTTCCTCACCTACTGTCTCTGTTTCATATTCTTAGCTTACACTTCTGTCCTCTTACATAATCTTCAGTATCAATCAAATAACTAATTCAATTGTTTATATTGTACTGAATTTTACCCTTATTTCCCTTCATACTGCAAGTAACTGACCTCTGGCCAGGCAGTGTGACAGTTGCTGTTACCTAGAAACGTTACTGGCCTGAAATTGCACATGATATTGGATATTGGATATCAACGACGAAATTACCGCCAAACACGACTTACCGCGTCACTGTGACTAAGCCGCTTTCCGAGTGTTAGGTTTTATCATGACAACAAAATATGATAGGGCGATTACCATCTTTTCTCCAGACGGTCATCTTTTTCAAGTAGAATATGCGCAAGAGGCAGTTAAAAAAGGTTCAACCGCAGTAAGTAGTTTGCTTTCGTCTTCTATTCATTAGATCGGTGTTAGAGGGAAAGACTGTGTTGTGCTGTGTGTTGAGAAAAAGGCAACAACTAAGCTTCAAAATGACAGAACTGTTAGAAAGATAGCTCTTTTGGATGATCACGTTGCAGTTGCTTTTGCAGGTAGACATTACTTTCAAAAATTAACTTCTCAGGGCTTACTGCCGATGCTCGTATTTTGATTAGCCGGATCAGAGTAGAATGTAAAAGCTATAAACTTACCGTCGAAGACCCTGTTTCTCTGGAATATATTGCTAGATATATGGCCCAATTAAAACAGAAGTACACTCAAAGCAATGGTCGTCGACCTTTTGGTGTGTCAACACTAATTTGTGGATTTAACCAGGATGGTACCCCTCATCTTTATCAGACAGACCCGTCTGGAACTCACTTTGAGTGGCTGGTAAGGTTTTATCAACTTGAGCTTACTTTAAGGCCAATGCTATTGGAAAAAACGCAAAAGTCGCACGTGAATTTCTTGAGAAAAACTATACTGAAGACGCCGTTGCAGATGAACATGGGACCGTCAAACTCGCAGTTAAAGCGCTCATGGAGGTTGTCCAGTCAGGGGCGAAGTACATGGAATTAGCTGTTATGAGGTGGAAAACACCGTCTAAGCCAGGAGAACCGTTTGTAGATTGGCAAGTATGTTATCAATCTATTAGCGATGTTTTTCTTCTCTCACTTAACCTCTTGTGCGGTTTTTCTGTTGTTATTGTAATAACTATCTGACCACTATTTTACTCATTGTAGAAGTCATTTGCTAACCTTTGTACCTAGTATCAGGAGCAGAAATACTAGACCAAACTGAGCAGCTCCTAACAGTATAAAAGTTGGCGCCTCCTCGATATCATGTCCAGAATATTAGCCCAAAATATCGATAGGCAAAACGTTACAGAGCCTTTCATGCTAACACATGCTATCAAAGAATTGCTTGTTATATTCTGAAATTTTTGTGAAATTACAGTGCGTTAGTTGAATTTTGTTCCTAAATTAGTGTTAATTTCGATTCGGGTGTACCGTCTTCACCAGCAAGCCAAGTGCTGAAACTTTCATGTATTTTATCCACCTTATGCATGTTCTCTCCCCGAACATCACCGGTCGAGTAAGAGCTTATGGCAAACAGTCATCAGAATCCGATATTTCAAGTGGTGTCCGCTGGGGATGTCCACTTTCTCCATTCTTGTTTGACTTTCTTATGGACATGTTTTCAAAATAATGCTATCGTCTCAGTTTGCAAGGGTGGACCCTCTACCAGGACACTTGCTTGTTGAATTAGAATATGCCGGTGACGGTTCAACTTGGTGAAGTCGGTGACGGAATGCGGAGTGTTCTCCCCGCCTTAAGCAACAATGCAGACCTGTTCGGGATGCGACTCCCCCTCCCTCGTAATGCACAACGTGGCTTCAGGATTGACTTGCATCGGCATCTGGACTAGTGATAGGCAGTGAGTTAGTTGAGCTTGTCGACCGCTCCACTTATCTTGGGAGTCAGATCGACACCGACTGGTGGAGTGTATGACGAAATCTTGGCACGGACACAAAAGGCTCGACTGGCTTTTGCCAACTTGCGTCACCTATGGCGTAGGCGAGATATTCGTCTGCTAACCAGGAGTTTGCTTAGTCCTACTATGCAGATGCGGTAAGAGTAGGACATATTCGTAGAGTATTAGTACTCATTCATAGGTGACTTCGAAGCATTGCTCGTATATCGTAGGACAACCGAGTAAGCAATGCTTTAGTCAGGAAACGAGTGCTAGGTAGGGATTGCATATCAATAGATGAAGTAGTTGAGGTGGTTGGGATATGTGTTAGGTACGCCCAACCACCGACGCCCTCGACGAGCGATGTTTCGTGGTGTAGGAGTAGGTCGGGAGAGAGGTAGGGTCGGCCAAACCAAAACATGGCAGAAATCCATGAATTCACTGACAAGTGGACAGAGTCATGTTGGTAGATATAGGCTGCCAGGTTGTAATCCGCGAGACGAAAGTCACCGACGGTTAGAGACCTTGAACGACATGGCTCAGAATCATTTACAATGGCTCAGGTGCATCCACTCTTTATGTTCTCTGAAATCTTAATCTTCTGAATTCCTCATCACTAACTTTCTCTTTGAATTTATTTGACTGAATTATACTTCCTGGGTAATTTCTTCAAACCCTAATCTTCTGCAATGCCGCTTATACTTCTACTGTCTCTATCACTATTGGATTTGAACTTACGATTGCGTCTCTGTGCTGTGGTATGACAACCTGAACTGATGTACGTTACGTACGAAGTTCTACGTTGAGGCTTGCTGACTGACTTGTTGTTAGAGTACTCGGTTGAGATCTGTGCGATCACTGTTGGGAAATGTTAAGTGACAGTTAACTGGTCACTTCCGTAGATGTTTTCACTCCATCTCCCTTTGAGTCCATGTGTTCCTTTACTTATACTTTTTAAATGTCTTTTTGTTTAGTCTTTATCATTTGTGCTACAATTTCTCAACTCTACTGATCATCTTGTTAATGTCGCAGTGATTTGGTGTGCAAACTTGGACCAACATGCATTTTTGCGGAGATGAGCTTTGTGCCTGACCGACTAATTGTCTGACTAGTTATTATCATCGGTTATTTCAGTCTGTAAAGACTAATCATCCAGATAATCGTAGAATAGTGACGTTAACGCATATCCTAATATTGAAGTCACTCGAAACTTTCAAGCGCATCTGTTAGATTTTCACTCTGCTACTTACCGACATCACGTATGAAAAGGCAATATATCTGAAAGCATGGACTAACTTTTAAGGACAATTGACTGGACTACGGTTTACAAAGCTATCGTTTGAAGCAGCATGAAATTAGACTTGGTAGGTTATGGTAGCGAAGTTAGAAGCAGAGCTTAAAGGTTAGAGGATTCAGCACCAGATAAAGTCGCCTACAAATTTTCGAATCGTATCAAAACGCGGTGTTTTCACAGTAAGCGTTTAGTAATTGCCAAAATTACTTTGATGATCTAACGTAGTAGGCTAAGAATTAGTGGTTGTTCTTTACGCATTGGTTATCATACTCGTAATAGTGAGTGGACTTCCAGTCTTGATTTTTAATTCTCTCGATGTTTTCGTTACTACTTGTATTACATTATCTCTATCATTTTCATCAATACCCAGTCACCGCTTTCGTTGAAGTTTAGCAGCCTATTCTAGTACACTGATGTATCAGGTCCCACACTTTTCGCTTTTAGACTAACTGTAAACTTTAAGCAATTATTAATCTATGGGCTAATCTACTTATCACTGAACTACTTCCTTTTTACTTTTATTGGTTATTCCTTGGAGAATATTGAAGCTTTTCGACTTTATCCATCTCTGAATAATAAATCTGCAATTGGTTTACAGTGGTTTGATTGCGCTTCAGACCAGGTCATTTCTATGGTTTATAATATCGTCCACAGTAGTCTATTTAGTCTCTGTTAACTTGATTGGTCCACAAATCTTTGGCATTTGGGAGGATTGGATTGTTGTTTTTATGGACCACATTTCTTGTTGGACCGTGATGTTAGGGAACAAACAATTTGTTAAAATCATTTTTATATGCGTTTTCCTATCAATCCAAACCAAATCCTTTGCTGTTTTATCTGTGAATGTATTGCCAACCTAATATATTTATATAAGTTTGTACAAACAAGTGAATGAACACATGAAGTCTATATAGTGAGTAATTTTATAAATTGCGAAGCACATATACTGGTCTGTTGCCTTGTCACTAACGTATGAGCTATTTTCTTTTGTTTTTGATTATGCTATTAAACAAGTGTGGCATACACACATTGAGTTACATCTGCTTTTTTATCTTCTTTCAGATGCTTGAGTTTGCTGATATTCAAAAGTATGTTCAGGCTATCGAAAAAGAGAGAGAGGAGGAGGCAGAAAAGAAACGTCAGAAAAAAGAAGCAGCTGCAGCTTTATGACACATAATTAGTTATTTATAAGAGGTGTACAATTCCGGTTCTCATGTTTTATACACTCGTAACTATACTCGTTTGGTTTTACTTTAAAATTTGGACTGGAAGTTGTTTGACGCTCTTGAATGTTTAATAGTCATCTGTTTCGTCGCTTCCGTCTTCATCAATTAGATTATCCTCATACGTGGGTAAATTTAAGACATCACATTCATTTCCTACCTCATCTGAGGCATGCTTGTCATATTCAATCGACGGTAGGTTTAGCGTCTTGTAAATCTTCTCTAGGATTTCGTTATCCAAATATCGTGAAATGGTGTGATTATCTCCGATTCGCTCCTTCATTTCGTTAAGACATGTTAATGCCTGCAAACAAACAAAAATTTAAGATTATTCTTTGCACTTCATAATAACCGGAAACTCTGCGTAATAGTTTTTCCACAGTTTATAAGTAGGTTGAGTTTTAGATGTCGATAATAAACAGACGTCATTTTGAGTTTTATGACTCTCTGTCAAATCATAAAACTTGTGCTAAATTCTATAAGACCTCTTGAATATTTAAGGATCTTAATTGTCTGAAAGAAGATAAGACATCATACTCTGTGGTTTTTGATGCACATAAATAAATGATATTTTTATATAAGATTTTTCTTTAAGGCTCAGTTAAAAATCGATATTTGCAAATATACCCGCGCCCAATTAAAAGTAGGATTCATACAATCGAAGAAACTACTTTCAATGTTGAGCGTGGTATTTGAACATGGACTAGTCCATCAGGTTTCGGAAAACACAGATGATTATAATCTAAACCTGACGTTTATATGAATGCCATTCCACTTGTCAAGTAAAAATAATAGCTATACTCCAGTTTCCAAACACATTTACGGTGAATAAAGCTTATATGAATCGCATGCGTTCCGTTGACTTAGCTTTGGTGATGGAGAGTTTTTTGCGTTAATTAGTTTTTGCTATCATCAGAACATCTCAATAGGTGGTGACATCCAGTGGTTCTTGATGTTTATCTCGAGGTAGGGGAAACGAAGGCACGTTGATGTTCACTTGGTGGTAAGCGCTTCTAGTTGGATACGTTCAGTTTTCCTCCGTTTCTGTACAAGTTATGAATGAACAATAAGACCCACTTAAAGAAAGGCAAATACCAGTCAGATTCCAAAGGTGGTAGTGTTATTGTTTGAGCTCATGGACTAACAATGATTTTATTAACCCCATCTGTGTTAATATCATACACGCTCTGTAAAACATTGGAAATATTTATCGAATATTATTTTAAAGATAATAATAATCAGTCATGAGACAAAAATTCTTCTTAGTCGACGAGTTTAAATGTTAACACGCATTTGGAATCTGATTGGCATTTCTTTCTTTAAAGTGAATATTATTATTTGTTCGTATTATACAGGAACGGAGAAGAAAAAGCGGATTTTCGACGTTAAGCTGAATTATTTATGGAAAAATCTTCGTAGCCAAAATTATCAATGGTTGGGAATCAGTATATGAGTATTTCTTCCAAACTTTCGAAATCATCGGTGTATTAGATAAAATTATTAATAAGGAATCAAATTCTGATCATAGTATGGGAATTATCAACTTGGGTTTCAATGTACTTCAAAAGAAATATCTGGTGGATAAAATTATTAACCCATTGCATTCTTAATTTCTCTTTTTTCCCCTTAAAGACGTTAACATTATACTCATTTGCTGTCACTTTTGTTTCCCTTACATAATTGGTGCACAGCTATGAAGGAGTAATAATTATTGTTCAATTAATAATTGGTTTTTATTATATACAGGAACTCGTCTCCATACCCTCTTTTAGAATATTGGATTTGGCTAAATTATTCTCTTTCAGTACATTGGCCAATCAAGTTTCTTTATTTTCGTTGTCTAGGTAAAACGATGACGTATATTACGATATAAAATTTAAACACACTAAATATATGCTCATCATTACACTTTCAGTAGAGAATAATAATGTTGATTCCTCTTTAAATTTTTATGTGATAAGACTGACTTACAGCTTTATATTTCTCTTGTGTCACTAATTCACGTATTATTAAACTATAAATATCTCCAGGTCTCAGCACGTTATCAGGTCCAATAGTTTCTAAAAGTATTTGACATCTTTGCATTGCGTCGGTCGGATCGGCAGAAAATAACCTATCCAATAAAGAAAAAAGAGTAAATATCATCATCGTCAATATTATTAAACAGAGGATGGATTAACTATTTTAAAATAAATGTACACGATTGTATTGATTGAAGTATTTATATGTTCACTGATCTCGAATGACTGCTTTTATTTAGTGAATAAATCAAGTTGATTGTTCCTTGCTGAAATTATTTTCGTAAACGTGTGTCTCTGTCTCTAATCAGTTACTGAGGAAATTAGTTGATTGTTTTGTGATCCCAAGAGCTAACATTTACAAATATGAACCTTTAGATTCCAACCAAACAGGTTAGAGGTTATATACTTGATATGAGATCAATTTCCTTGGTACTATTCCAAGTAAAGTCATGGACAGTCAGGAACTAAGATGAAAGCTCTTCCTAAATCCTATTTTTTCTTAATGAACTGAAGTACGAAAAGGAACTGTACGAAAACCATTTTTAGAAATAATGATACTTAACTAACTCAACAAAATAAATGAACTAATGAAACTTTGTTTAAGAAATGAAAATTTGCCAGTTCACATCAACTACATTTAAAAGATCTGACAAATGTATTCTCGATCAACACGTATGTTATAACTACTTTTCTTACATTTGAGGTAGATATTTAATAAAGCTTAGACGATAAAATATAATTAAATGGGACTGGAGAATCGCTTATTCACTTAGAATCTGCCGATGACAGTTCTATTCGGTGAAGACGCTGATAAAATGCAGAGTCTTCTGACTACCCTCAGCAACGATGCTAGCATGTTCGGGATGCGGTCCCCCCCCCCGCGAAATGCAAAATGTTGTTTCAAGAATGATTTGCATCAGCACCTGAACTAGTGATAGGGAGTGAAGTAGTCGAGCGTGTTGATTACTTCACTTATCTGGGGAGCCTCATCAGTGCTGATAGCCTGGTGACTGACGAAATCTCAGCGCGGATACAGAAAGCTCGATTCGCTTTTGCCAATTTACGTCGTTTATGGCGTAGGCGAGATATCCGTTCGCTAACCAAAGGACGGGTGTACTGCGCAGCGGTTCTCTCCGTTCTCCTATATGGATGCGAAATATGGCTGTTAAGAGTAGATGTTCGTAGGTTACTAGTTTTCGATCATAGATGTCTTAGAAGCATTGCCCGTATATCGTGAGACAACTGAGTAAGCAATGCTGTCGTTAGGAAAGGAGTACTAGGTAAGGATGGCAGACCAATAGACGAAGTGGTGAAACTTCATCAGTTGAGGTGGTTGGGACATATGTTACATATGCCTAATCGCCGACTGCCTCGATGAACTATGTTTTTTGGTGTAGGAGTAGGTAGGAAGAAAGCTAGGGGTGGCCAGACCAAAACATGGCAGTAATCCATGATGTGACTGACAAGTGGACTGAGTCATGTTGGTAGATGTAGGCTACGTCTTTGGGGTCCGCGAGACGAAACCTTGAACGACATGGCTCAAAATCGTTTGCAATGGTGCAAATGCATCTATTCGTTGTGCTCTCTCAAATCCTAATCTTCTGGATTCGTCAGCACCTCTACTTTTGTCTTTCCGACCTTATTGAATTATACCTCTTGAATAATATCTTCAAACCCTAGTCTTCTTCATTACCATTAATAACCCCTACTATATCTATCACTATGGGATTTGATTTGACATTTGCGTCTTTGTGATAATGTGGTGTGGCAACCTGAACTTATGTACATACGTACGACGTTCTACGTTGCAACTGACTGATTGATACAGTAAGATATACTTTATTAATCACCAAACATCGAGTGGATTTAAGACTTTCTAGAATAGTCCATTTACCGGTTCGGTGTATCAATATCAATATTACAATGACATTCAACAAGTGGTAATTGTAATCAACTTACTTTTTAACTTCTACAAATTCTTTGCATAATATTGTTTTCTTCTTAATTCTTATTAAATTTTTCTTAAGATGACATTCAGTTGTTTGATTATTATCATTGTTTGAATTTGTTAATTTGACTAAAACTTTATATGCTTCAGTTAATGCGTCTATTGCTTTTTCGTAATTACCACATTCTTCAATTTCACTCTGTTGTTAGTAATGAGAAACAAAATAATATAAAATTGTGTTTAATGGCTTAACGATTTTGGCCTATTAGCGTTTATTAGTGGTAATTATTTACAAATTAGTAAGCGTAACTCAGTCTGTCAGTCAGTCAAACGGGATTGGGAACGTGGCACATAAGTATAGTTGCCGAATCCTATTAGCACAGCGAGATCGAGCGAATCCCAGTGTAGTAGCTGTAGTAACGGTTTTAGCAGGCATCCGATCACAGCTCGTTAGTGTTAATAGTTTAAGAGACATAAAATATCTAAAAAAATACTAAGCATTGAGTAATCTGTTTTCATTTTTTTAAATAGCAATAAACATTCAGGTACAATAGGACACAGAAAACGTATCCCGGAAATGAAGTGAAAATTTTCCAATGAAAAGGAATATGGAAGAATTGTATGATTTATAAGTAAATGAACAGGAAGAGTTTATTAACAAATAAAGTTTGGAAGTCATCCATGGTACTATCGCAATAAGCTGTATCATTTCTGGAATCTGAACTAGGGATTCATGATCGTTTGATAGATACCAAAGCTTAAACAATTATGTTTCATAACATGGATCTATGTTTCAAAGTGGCCATCTCTGCTTTTTCCACCCAGTCCCATCACAACCCAAGAGTTACTGAAATACATTAGTAAAACGGGACTGAGTCACATAATTTGATGTTTCAGGATGGCGACTTCAATCGAATTGCCGTCACTGTGTTCAAATAAGCAATCCTTGACCCTATCATTACTAACATATTGTTGCCACCGGATATGAATAATCTCAGGGAGACAACACTAGTTGAACAAAGATTTCCTCAGCATTCATAGTTTAGATAAGTCAGGTCTAACAAGCACACAATAAAAATATTCCTATCTACGCGTTGTAAACACGCCTCCTATGACGTGACTAACGTTATGCTGAAGCCAAAGACGAACTTACGCTCTTCTGGCTTTTACTAGCACTTATAAAAACGCCTAGACATGTGAACTTTTCAACTACAACAAGAATGAGTGCAGACACTGGCACTTGTCAGTTATCATGAATTTTATTTGTCGAAGGCCCGAGATATTGCGCTTAATAACAGAGGTTGTTCTTGGATAGATTTGTTAACGTTGACCATTAAAACCATATGATCAACACACTGAAAGTCCAACAAGTTGTACTTCGATAGAAAGATGCATACAACAAATTAACTATTACAAAGATGTTCACAAAATATAGTCGATTTACAATTTGAAGAGAAATTCAGTTTAATCCCACCATTAGATTGAGGTGATGAAGAATGGTGATTATGAGTCTTGTGACCCAGTATAAGATAATGTAGTTTAGTGAATATTAATTTTTATCAAACCTTATTTGAAAAAAACATATTGATTTATGTTTAATTATGATACTGGAGTAAAATAACAGTTAAAATAAAACGAAATTGTGAACTGTGTGGACGAATGTGAATTGTACAAACTTCGCATTATCATTTAACTTTTGCAGAATACCTTGGGTCTACTGTTACATAGTGTCTTATAAATGTATAAATTTTGAGAATGGATACACGATCTAAACACATTTATAAGTATGGTAATAATTATATAACTGCGTTGTTCAACGACTAGGAATTAGCGAATATCTGCTTCTAATATTCAAGAAAACAACAACATATCACAATTTATAAACATCTACAATGTTTGATGCAGGCGAAATACATCTGTCTCGACCGTAGCTGCTACCTCGACTCAACGGGTCGGGCTTGCCTGTCGTGATGACCCAACCGAACTACATTGGCTGGAACATGTGTTCCTTTAGGTCGGTTGGAGAACGGTAAGACTTAAAGCAGCTACTCAAGGTCTGAAGGTACAGTTGAACTGCTAACTGTAGAGAGGTGTGACAGCAGTAAGGTGCTTCCCTCAGACAACCAGTGTCTGCAGAGATGCAGCCTTCTCACAAGAAAGGAAGGGTTAGAAAAAGGTCGACCCTAAAAGTGTCACACCTCTCCTTATCTCATAGGTTTACGTCTCCGGTGGTAAGGCCTTTTAAACAAGAGCAGAGCTAATACCTTATAAACTTCCCATAAAAACGCAGTGCGTGACCGGCCACAGACAGTTGTCCCTTGAGCACTGTGGTCAAGCTCCCAGGTCTTTAAGACCAATGTCAATCTAACTTCCATTTAAGGTTCTTTAAGAAACATCCTTCCACGACGTGGGCAGCTCTCGCACTCGTAACAGTATACAAGTTCATCTGGATCAAAATCAAATCCTTCCTATGCCTCTTAATAACCCGTTCGCAATGGCACAGGTTCATCCACTCTTTTCTCCTCTCAGGACTTTTTCTTGTCTTTTTTAAAACTTATTTCACTGAATTATACTTCGTGACTAATATCTTCGAATTCTTATCTTCTTGACTGCTGCTAATAGTTCTACTACCTATACTACTATGGAATTTTTTGAACTGACAATTCCATCTCGATATTCTTGTGTGCATCTTCAACTGTCTGACTGTTTATAGGTTTTTTACAATAAGCAACAGTACTAGAATATGACGAAAAGGTAGATACACTGCAGACGGTCATCCTTTACGACACTGCGATTTCTATTTGGTAAACCCTATAGATCTGTAACGAATCGATGAACCTGGGAATTAACAGTTAGTTCACAATCATATATATATATATATATATATATATATATATATATATATCCATTGGTGAATATTGCTGACCAAATACTGATTTACAACATCAGCTTTGAATATTCTTGGTTATTAATCAATTCGAATCATCTTAAGTATGAATAGTGAGAGCGTCAAGCAGGTCAATATGATACACAAAAACACATAGAAGAGCAACTACAGAAAATCAATAAACATACATGAGCACATGCTTCATAAAATGAAGTCAGTGATTCCATTGCTTGACCACGGGTATAAAACTGTATGATATTACGTATAATACTCATATTCGAACGCCAATCACTTAGTGTTTGTAAATAATTAGCTGCCATTATGTAAATTTCTTTTTGTTTACTAATATTTGTGAAAAATATAATTTTCTCAGTGTCACCAGATTTGATTAATGCTTTCATTGCTAATAAACGATTCCCGGCTTGTGTAAATTTTTTACAAGCTAAATAATAGTGCTCTTGAGTTAAGCACAATTCACCTAATTCAATCAATATATTGCATTTTTCTTTATCAGTTAAATTGCTCGATGTTGGTGTGAGTTTTTCAATTAAATCTTCTGTTATAGGAACATAATGATCATTGCATAACTTTATTGCTTCCCAATACTGTAAATCAATTGTTCGAGGAAAAAAGTGATATTGTGAATAAAAATGATCCATTGAATAATGAACTCAAAATATATTTATTCGTTTTCGAATTAAAATAAGGGACACGTGTCCATTCAATTTGGAGCAATCAGCTGGATATTCATGCATCCTAGTGTTTACGGTTCAACTTCCCTTACAAACACAAATTTTTTATCGAGTGAGACAGTGAATCTGTGTATCCACCAAACTTCTCAATGTATATCATGTCTACATCATTGTTTGCAAGGGTTTAAATTATTCTTTAGCTAATAGTGGCTTTCTAAACTCACTCAGTGTATTGATCCTAAATAGCATAATACACTCATCCAAAACTGGACTACCAGCTAAAATCAACTTCCTTTTAATCTATCTACTAAACGACAACATTCAGGCATAGACTGATCAAAATTTGGTCTTGTAAACCAACAATGAGATAATTTAGTTCTTTGCTAATAATGATGTAAATGAATACATGATTTCTGAACGTGAGATGAATTATTTTATTTTGAGATTTACATTCAGTTTCTTAGTAATCCATTGGTTGACTCTGGGATTACTGAACATTTTAGCATTCAAACTTTAGGTGAACGGTTCAACTTCACATAATTTGTCATGACAAAATTTATTCTGTAATACAATACAAATTATGTGACATGCTATTTAAAAATTCGAGAGTACTTTTCATCGCAAACTGATATGATTCGAAGAAATATTAAAAGCATGAAGGTACCGGACAGTAAATAATGAAATTGTTACAAGTGAACAGTTTTGCAATAAATTTACGCAATGTATTTAGTTGGTCATAGTTTGCAATTTAAGGACTTCAAGAATCAATACTCGTTTAGTTCGTTGCTTCATGTTTTCAACAAAAGTGTGAGCATAGCATATGTGATGTAATACCCGTTAACTAGCCATAATAACGGTGTTTACATGATCATTTTTGTAATTTGATTTGCAGCCAGTCATTTAGGTTACCCTTAATCATTTGCAATCAGCTACTTATGAGTCAGTAACGTTATACACCAGCTGTGCCTGTAATTATGACTAGTTTTTTTTATGACAGACTATGCGAGCAATTCGCTAATGAATCATTATAAATTGATCATACGCAACTCTCGTTCTAGCTAGCTACATCGCTTACTTTGATTCAACTACTTCGTTGAATTGTTATTTCTTTCGATTTGTCTTTGACACATATTATAGTAGAAAGCGTTTTAATTTCCCTTTGATTTCACTAATATCATTTTTATTTGTGTTTTTATTGTGCCACATGTTCCGATTCTATGTCGTACGTACTTGTTTGGACTTTTTTGAAATGAATAATCATCAGCATCAACAGAGTTCAAAGACTTACGTGTCAGACATCTTGGTTACTTTGGTAACCGTACATTTATTTTACCTTTATAAATTGAAGCACAGTCTGATTGGTAGATCTAATCAAGTCTTAATTTTAATGGGTAATATAAAACTCAGACACCTCGTATTGTATCATCTTTTTATCGAAGTGTTACTGCGTTACTGTGTTACTGCTCTGTATTAAGTAATCGATTCCCTTGAATGATATTCTCTCACCTATACGTCATATAAACTCAAGTAATCCGTAACACATCTATACATATTTGTTATTCTACCTTTGGAATAACATTAAACTCACTAACGGGAATTGTTTTGCACACTTTTCCCCTAGCAACTACTCAAACCTGTTATCCAATAACATTGATGGCTCTAATAGTGATTATTATGGGTTTGATCTTCACATAAAACCCGATAATCTATGTGATGACGAACATCTCAATAACAATGAGTTAGAGTAATCAAGCTATGGATAATGCATGTTCTAATTCTGATGAGGTCCTTGTCATAGATGAAGTTTTCCTAAGCATAATGTTTCTAGTAGCGTTTCCGTCGATGGAAGCGCCTAAAACTACAGAAAGAGAATTTGAGCAGGCAATGTTCTTCCATTCTTATATTCAGGCTGTTCAGTTTCAACGAAATCAGAAACGATATATGAAGCTTGTACTCTGTGGAAGTGGTGGAAAACTGTCATGAGAAATCCAAATCATCTGCAAAGAAAGAGTTATACGTAATAATTTTATAATGCCCTTTCATCGAAATGCTGTTGTCCAGCCCATATATTTCGAGGAGATGGATAGATACTGGACAGTGATTCATAGGAGCTTGCACCCTTATAGCTTATGGATGCGAGAGCTAATAGAATAAGAGTTCAATTCCATTAGGCCTCTACTAATTTCAGGTACTGCTGTACTTAATAACAATAAGAATATAATCTATTGTTCGATCATTAATTCTAATAATATTTTGCAAATTATTATGCTATCATTAAATATTACCTGTTTACCAGTAGCTAGTATTTCAACAGCTTGATCAAATTGATTATTTTGTATGAAGAATTCTGAGCATTGTTTCAACATAACAGGATTTAATTGTTCATCATTTAATGAACCAATGATACTTTGTAAAGCAGTAAACTGATGTGTACTAAATGCTAATTCTACAGCTCGATTAATTTTACCAGCTTTATGATACAATAATATTGCTTTATCAACATAATCTGGATAATTTTCCAAATGTTTAGCCGATTCCAACATATCATCTGATTTGCCTAATTGAGCTAAACTAAAAAGATGATCATTGCGATCATGTTCCTGCCGAAAACAAATTTTTTGAGGAGAAAAATAACATCAAGAACAACAATATCAACAACATGGGAATATTGAAATGTCTTGTTATGAAAGTGATGAATTGGTAACATATTTAAAAATTCCACCTAAAAATGAATAACACACACATTTGGAAATTTCCACTTCTTATCAATAAGTATCGAGTATTTATACTAATTACAACACTTACAAAACATACAAATAAATACTAAAGGCTAACTCAACCGTCTACTGGTCCTAACCTACTCTAAAATGAACATTAATGATAGTCAACTTAATTGTGTAGTCACTGTGATTCTCCTCAAATGTGCAGGCATGGAAAAGCGGTATTTTTAGGAACCACTTCTAAAGTTTTCCGCTCAAGTAACTTTCTCAAAAGACATTTAGGCGACGTCAGGATCTACAGTCTATTGGCAGGCAGTGAACAGAATAATTTCTTACATGAGTCGTTCTCTCAGGAATACTGTACATCATTTATTTTAAACAAGGATTCGAAGTCGGCATTTTCCAAATCCATATCCAGCAATCCATTTTAGGAGGCGGACGTCTGCTGTCCTTCCCTTCATTTTCTTAAAATCTCTACTACATAAGTGATGAATATGACTTCCCTTGCAGTGGCTATAAACACAGACGATAAAAAAGTAATTCGATACAGAGAACAGACCCACACCTCTTGGCTGGACCAGTTCATTTGCGGTTGAGGTGAATATTAATTATTGACAACTCACAAAAATCGTAGGTATATGGTTAGGATTATGGGATAATGTTGCTAGAGATTACGAAATTTTTGATTAGCAAATGAGTACAAAAACTGTAAGTAAATTTTTTTTTCTATGATGGATTTACGATTATTTGATTCCTAATAATAGCAAATTTTATTGAAGAGCTGTAATCTGTAGACTGTATTCATCATATATTGATCTCAGTTGAAATACTAGCGAAAACCAAAGAACGCTGGATGGCATTAACTCCTCAGTGGTGTGTACCAAATACTTCATCAGGGACTGAAACCTAGGATATTCAGGTGCCCTAGAAAATCCAAATCATTAAAACTTATGTGTCACAGTCGAATAATAAAATTCCAACTTTAATCAGTCTGTGATATAGCGCAATCATCCTGCGATTAATGACTGGTTTTCAGTGGTATCCTATGTGACTAATATTACCCATGAATCAAATTTTAAGTGACTTTAAATAGGAATTGCTAAAAGTTTTGATAAATTTTCCAATACATGTTATAAAATGTTCACGATCATGTTGTTTTGTGTGAGGTTTTGAATGGAAACACCTGAAAAAATGGTAAATAACATGCTTTTATTCTAAGCACCATAGTGGGCAAATATTTGGAAATTCTCAATCCACTGATCAGTCTTATTTTGTCAAATAAAAGACATGGTCATCAGAAAAGTCTGCAACACACTTTAGTGCTTGTTACCTCTCTTCATCAAGAGGTACCTGTAATATATAGGAAACCGATTCTCCCTTTCGGATTCAGACTTCACAATATAAGAGGTCACCACTGAGTTATTCGCAATGAAACACCTGTAGGACTAGGATATTTACAATCGATCGATTGCTGAGTAGTGACCGATATCGTATTTGTCTAGTCTTTTAGTGTTGGTGATATTATATATATATATAAACTTGTATTACCTTGCACAAACGTATTGCACTAGAATAAGCTTTTGCTCTTGTGAATAAACGAATCGCTTGATCTATACAACCTTTCAATTTTAAATGATGTCCTAAATGATGACACGCACCAGCATCACCAGTTTCATTACATATTGTTTCGGCTTCTGATTCTTGACCAAGACAGCAAAGCACACGTACTAATGATAAGTAGTCTTTCGAGTCAGAATAATATGTTTTTGCCTCTTCAAAACGTCCTTGAGCTTCTAATGTCTGTGCCCACCAAGTTTTGATATATCTAAATTAAAAAGAAAAAAAAGAAAATGAATGTTTCATGGTTAAATGGATCAATTTGTATTTTTTTTCAAGGTTTCACTCAAGTCAACGAATCAAAATGAGATCATTTCTGTATTTATCAATAATTTCTGCACTCGGCAAATTAGTCAATCAGCTTGTACTACACTAATAAGCCTCAGATTACTAGCTTTCATTGTTCCTCTGAACAACATCATCAGCACAAACTTCAGATAGAACTGAAGTATTCGAATTTCTCCACGTTTGACCTGTAGTTTGATTGATCGCTGATGACCTTAAATCTGTCGTTGTTTACACTTTTGTTTTGATTCTTTCCCCCTTGTGATCTGATTCTTGATCCTATGTCGCCTATGATTTTTCTGGCTGGTTGATAAATTGGGTTGATGTCAATGTGTTTGTTGATTGCTGATTGACCTGAGTGCCATACTTCGAGGTTAACAGAACAAACTGAGGGTCAAACGTGGAGAAATTCGAATACCTCATTTCTATCTAGAGTTTGTGCTGATGATGTTGTTCAGTAGAGCAAAGAAAGCTCCACAACCAAAAAATCCAGCTCATAGTATGAAACATCAAAACCAGACACTTTTTTCATCTTTGATAAATCGATCAAAATTGTACACATTTTGATTAAAACTCACAAAGTTTAGAGTATGATTATATAAAAAGAGAAAAAACAAAATAAAATTACTACCAGAATTCAACTCATATTGGAATCCTGAAGCATTTTAAATCATTGCATTATGATTAAAAACATGACAGTAAATGAATAGATAAATACATTGACATTTTCATGAAGTCTATTGATACACACTGATCTCTGTGGATACTCGAAGAGTGAAGAAAGAAAAAACAACAAGGCAGCAATCAACGTCAGCCGAATAAGAGCAAAGAAAGACGGGGCACAAACTGAATTCACAGAAGCAAACAACCAAGTAAAGAGGAGCAGCAGAGCCAACAAATGTAAACATGTGAAAGATCTAGCAATGACGGCAGTAAAGGCTGCAAGAAAAGGAAACTTCAGACAATCGTACAATACTACAAAGAAGCTCTCTGGAAACTAACATAAACCAGAACGACCAGTGAAACGCAATAAAGGCAAAGACATCACCAACATTGAAGAACTGCGAAAAAGGTGGATGGGGCATTCTGAAAAACTACTGAATAAAATAGTCTCATTGATACCACCCAAAATAGAAGCAGCGCACATGAATAATCTCCTAATTGATATTGACCCACCAACAGTTGAAGAGATCAGTGTAGCCATCAGAAAAATCAAGAGCAGCAAAGCAGAGGGACCAGACAGCATTCTAGCAGAGGCAATCGGAGCAGACGTGTCAGTAACTGCAAAGACGCTCCACATTCACTTCAAAAACAATGTGGAATGAATAAGTACTAACAAACTGGAAAGAAGAACACCTCATCGAAATACCAAAGAAATACGATCTCAACAAGTGTGAGAACTACAGAGGCATCACTCTTCTCACAATGCCAGACATAGTCTTCAACAAGGTAGTGTTAAACTGAGTTAAGGATTTTGTAGACGCACAACTTCGAGATCGACAGACTAGATTCTCTGGTACAACACTTCATGTGCAAACCAAATCACTCTTGATGGAGATGCCTTGGAGGACGTTAACACCCTTACATATCTTGACAGCATCATTGACAATCAAGGTGGATCTGATGCAGATGTGAGGGCGCGGATCGGGAAGACAAGTGAGGCGTTTCTATGAATGAACAACATCGGACGCTCCAAACAACTATAAACCAACACTAAAGTCACAATTTTTAATAAAAATGTCAACGCAGTTCTATTGTTTGGGGAGGAAACTTGGAGAACTACAAAAGCCATCATCCAGAAAATACAAGTGTTTATTAACAATTGTCTACGCAAAATACTTCGGTTCCTTTGGCCGGACACGGTTAGTACCAACGTACTGTGGAAGGGAACAAACCAGATTCCAGTGGAGGAGGAAATCAGGAAGAAGCGGTGGAAGTGGATAGGACACACACTGAGAAAAGCAACGAACTGCGTCACAAGACAAGCCCTGACTTAGAACCCTCAAGGCAAAAGGAAAAGAGGAAGGCCAAGGAACACATTACGCCGAGAAATAGAGAAAGATATGAGAGGAATGAACAAACATTGGATAGAACTGGAGACGGAAGCCCAGGGCAGAGTTGGTTGGAGAATACTGGTCGGGGGCCTACGATCCATTGGGGGCAACAGGCGCAAGTAAGTAAGTAATACACTAAATTGTGAAATAGAAGGCTTAGTATAGTTTAGAGATTATTCCATATATTATGTATGAACATAGTCAGCACTTAAAAATTGTTCACGTTCAATGAGGATAACAATTGATTTAAATACTATTAGCAAACAATTGATATGAATAATATTAACAAATGATTAAATCATATATCTAAGCATACTTACTGATCGCTTTGATTATTCACAAATGATTCCAATAATTCTGGATTATTTTTCAACATTCTAGGAACTTCAAAGCGATGAGTTCCTGATTTAATATAACTAAAAATGTCATATCAATGAAATGTTTCAGTTCAAAAATTAAAAATCAGCCAGAAAAATATGAGTTTACTAATCAAAGTAGGATATAATTTAAAGAAATAAGTTTACAACGAATAAACTCTTTAAAATATAAAGTGTAGATAGTCACAATTCGATGGGAAGAATATTATTACAAGTTTTTGCTTTCTATGTTGCAAGCGAAGCTC